TGTTTTTGTTACATGGATACCTTGTATAATGCTTAAGTTGGGGCTTTTAGTGTGCCCATCACCAGAATAGTGTTCATTTTACCCGATAGGTAAGCTTTTAACCCTCACCCTTCCCAATCTCCCCACTTCTTGGTTTCCAATGTCCGTTACATCTCTCTGTGCCCGTGTGTACCCATTGATTAGTTCCAAATTATAAGAGTACATGTGGTATTTCTTTTCCATTCCTGAGGTACTTCGCTTAGGATAATAATCTCCAGTTCCATCCAAGTTGCTGCAAAAGACATTATTTCATTCCTTTCCATAGCTGAGTAGTACTCCATGGGATGGATGTGTATATATACACCATATTTTATTAATCCACTCATGAACTGATGGGCACTTAGGTTGACTCCACATCTTTGCAATTGTGAATTGTGCTGCGATAAACATTCAAGTGCAGGTGTATTTTTTATAAAATAACTTCTTTTCCTCTGGGTAGATACCCAGCAGTGGATTGCTGTTTGAATGGTAAGTCTACATTTATTTCTTTGAAGAATCTCCATACTGTTTTCCATAGAGGATGTATTAATTTGCATTCCCACCAACAGTGTATAAGCATTCCTTACTCTCTGCATCCATGCCAGCATCTATTGTTTTTTGACTTTTTAATAATGGCCATTCTAACAGGGGTAAGGTGGTATCTCATTGTGGTTTTAATTTGCATTTCCCTCATGATTAGTGATATTATTTTTTTCATATATTTCTTGGCCATTTGTCTATCTTCTTCTGAAAAACTTCTGTTCATGTCTTTTGCTCACTTTTTGATGGGGTTGTTTGTTTTTTTCTTGCTGCTTTGAGTTCTTTGTAGATTCTGGATATTAGTCCTTTACCAGATGTATAGTTTGTGAATATTTTCTCCCATTCTTAGAATGTCTATTCACTCTGTTGATTATTTCCTTTGCTGTGCAGAAGCTTTTACATTTAATTAAGTCCCATTTTTTTTTGTTTTTGTTGTTGCTGTATTTGCCTTTGAGGTCTTAGTCATAAATTTTTTGCCTAGGCCAATGTCTAGAAGAGTTTTTCCTATGTTTTCTGCTAGAATTTTTATGGTTTCTTGCCTTAGATTTAAGCCTTTTATCCATATTAAATTAATTTTTCTATATGGTGAGAGATAGGGGTCCTGTTTCATTCTTCTACATGTGGCTATCCAATTTTCCCATCACCATCTATTGAACAGGACTTCCTTTCCCCAGTGTACGTTGTTGTCTGCTTTGCCAAAGATCAGTCGGTTGTAGGTAGATTTTATTTATTTATTGTTTTTGAGACAGAGTCATGCTTTTGTTGTCTAGGCTAGAGTGTAGTGACGTCTTTATAGCTCACTGCAACCTCAAACTTCTGGCCTCAAGCAATTCTCCTGCTTCAGCCTCCCAAGTAGCTGGGACTACAAGCAGGTGCACCCAGCTAAATTTTCTATTTTCTGTAGAGACAGGGTCTCACTCTTGCTCAGGCTGTTCTTGAACTCCTGGCCTCAAGCAATCCTCCCACCTCAGCCTCCCAGAGATCTAGGATTACAGGCATGAGCCACCAGGCCCAGGTGATAGATGGTTTCATTTCTGGGTTCTCTATTCTGTTCCACTAGTCTATGTCTCCACTTTTATACCTGTATCATGCTACTTTGGTTACTATAGCCACATCATATAAATTGAAGTCAGGTAATGTGATTCCTCCAGATTTGTTATTTTTGCTTAAGATTGTTTTGGCTATTTGGGCTCTTTTTTGGTTCTAAATGAAGCTTAGGATTATATTCTCCAGAACTGTGAAATATGACATTGGTATTTTGATGGCTATTGCATTGAATCTGCAAATTACTTTGGGCAGTAGGGACATTTTAATGATATTGATTCTACCAATCCATGAGAAGGGAAGTTCCCAAACACATTTTATGATTTAAAAAAAAACTGTTAAAATTAGAGACCTATATATCCTTACTATTAATATTTTACCATACATAATGCTTTAATGAAGCATTTCCATTAAAGATAAGAAGTAAATAATATCCCCATCATTATTTAATATTGTCCTAGAGGTTCTGGCCAATGCCCACAAGAAACAAAATGGTAATAAAAGACACAGCTTACAGAAAGAAAGGAAATTGCATAAGAATAAAGACTTCTATAGTGGGAAGATTCAGGTTCAAATCCCTGTTCTGTTATTACTGGAAATGTGATTTCATATAATTGTTTTATTTTTTCTATATGTGTTTTGTAAAGTGGTAAGGATTAAACAAAGTAATACATATACACTTGACCTTTAAACAACAAAGGTTTGAACTTCCACAGGTCCATTTAATACAGGGATTTTCTTCTGCCTCTGCCACCCCTGAGACAGCAAGTTAACCCCTCTCTTCTCCCTCCTCAACCTGCACAACGTGAAGACAATGACGATGAAGACATTTATAATGATCCTCTTCTGCTTAATGAATATTAAATATATTTTGTCTTCCTTACACTTTTCTTAATATTTTCTTTTCTTTAGCTTTATTATCTAAGAATACAGTATATAATACATATAACATAAAAATCTGTGTTAATTGATTGTTCATGCTATTGGTAAAACTTCTGGTCAACAGTAGCTATTAGTAGGTAAGTTTTTGGAGAGTCGAAAGTACATGTGAATTTTTGTGTGTGGGGGGGTCAGTGCCCCAACCCATGCGTTAAGGGTCAACGGTACGATGATTATAATGTGCCTGGCATACAATAAACTATAGGAATTACTGTTAATACGACGTATATCATGCCTACTTGCCAGTGATATGTAACTGCATGCTAAAAACCCAGAAAATTGAAAATTGGTAGAATAGGAAAACTCATAATAAGAGATAAGTGAAAACCCAAAATTTCTCTAAATATTAACAATATTCTGTTAGAAAAAAACACTTTAAAAATAGAAGTGAAATTATAAACTACATAGAAATAACCTATATAAAAAATATAACAGGTATGTGTAAAAAATGATCAAAATTGTATAAGGGATATAAAAAAGAAACAATGAGTACATGTAGAAACTTAACATGTTCCTATATAAAAACTATTATAAACAGTCAGTTCT